AACAGCTGTGACATGACAATAATTTATGCCTAGAGTTTTGCTTCCTAATTTGTTAATGTTATCATCTATTCTCCGCTGTACCCCATGCTGTGGTGGCCCGGTTATTACCTCTGATGTGAAATTGCAAGAGGACTTTAGGACAGTCTTTTTCCACAATGTTTGGAATTACCAGTTGTTGCTTCTACAGTATGTTTATGACATCCTGCAGTCAGCTCCATTATCAGAGTCTGTGTAGTTGGAAGAATATTGCTCTCCTAGTGTTTTTCATTGCCCAAAGTTGCAGCATTAAAACAAATGTGCAGTCCCACTGCTACTGGAACTCTGAACCTAGGGTAGATTAGTCTCACCTTTGCTAATATGATGTGTTTTTTTGTTGTTGTTGTTGTTGTTGTTGTCATTCCACTAAGATATAGCAAGCTCTTAAAACTTGTTTTCTGTGTTTAGTGGGGTTCTCTTTATCCAGATTTCACATTATTCTGAACATTTAAATTTCAAGCCCTTTCTCCAACTGGGAATACAAGTAGAATTGAAAAAAAGAAGGAGAAGAGTGCTAATTCATCTCGGACTGACTCTGCTCTACATGATTTCCAGGTGTTTTATGGGGAAGTTTTTTTTCTCATCTATTTTTAGGATTCTAAGATCTACAGAAGTAATGATAAGGCATCTATAACACCTCTTTAATGTTTTCAGGAGAAAAAGAAACCCTCCCTTCAGGCTTTTGAAATCAGCGTCAAATGCTATTCTAAATAGCTAGATAATACCTTGAGACCATGCCTGTATGATCATTTAGCCAGAGAATTCCTTACTAGGACTATGCAATGCAATCATCATAATATCTCCATCTCAATTAAGATCACGGGATGGCAAGCGGAAAGCTGCCATGACGCCTGTATGATCATTTAGCCAGAGAATTCCTTACTAGGACTATGCAATGCAATCATCATAATGTCTCCATCTCAATTAAGATCACGGGATGGCAAGCGGAAAGCTGCCATGATTGAAGATCACATAGATAGCTAGACAGGTAAGTTTGACTTCTCTGAAAGTGAGATGAATTATCAAAGCATGAGAATCTGTTACAGAATGTTTATTGACTGTTGTACATATCTCTTTTCAATGCAAAGCACGACTGGGTAAAAAGAAACCAAAACACTAAGAAAACTTACTAAAAAATCAAAATGGAAAAGGAGAAAGACTCATTAAAAGTCAGAACTATCATCTGAATTATTTAGGATTTTAAGATACTATATGAGTACACACCATTCTCTCTGTATTGCCAAACAGTGAGAAATTAAAATCTACCCATGAGTCAACTAGGTTTTTTGAAAAGCTTCTTCAAATAGAATACTGATACAATACTTACTGTTATAAATCATTACTAAAAACCCATGTCTGAAATATTCTTTAAATATATGTCTCTTATTTCAGGCAATTATATGGTATATGGCCATCTACGTTTATGTAAGCCATTTTAATTATTTGAACCTGTCAAGTCATTCAAGACACACATACACACACAGAGTCATGCATGACATAATGATGTTTTGGTTAGTGACTTACCACATATGTAAAGATTGCCTCATAAGATTATAATACTCTATATCTACTGCACCTTTTCTATGTTTAGATATGTTTAAATACACAATTACTTACCATTTTGTTACAATTACCTACAGCATTCAGTACAGTAACACGCTACACATGTTTTGTAGCTGTATTAGTCCATTTTCTGTTGCTTAAAACAAGACACCTAAAACTTGGTAATTTACAAAGAAACCAAATTTATTTCTTACACTTTGAGAGACTGGGAAGTCCATGGTCCAGGGGACACATCTCATGAGGGCCTTCTTCTGGGAGGGAACTCTCTACAGGGTCCCCTGTAGATCAGGGGACCATATGGCAAGCATGACATGAGCAGGAGCTTTCTAATGTGATCACTTGCTTTCCTTATAAACCCATGAGTGCCACGCTCATGACAATCCACTGAAACATTAACTCATTTCTCCACAAATGGATTAATCCATTTAGGAGGCATATTTGTCACAATCCAATTACCTCTTAAAGGCCCCACCTTTCAACACTGGCATAGTCTGATTTCTTACCCTCCTAACACTTAATGGGGATCAAGCTTCAGTGAGACTTAGGGGTACATTCAAGCCACAGAAATAGTCTAGGAGCCATGTACTCACTATACAGCCTGGGTGTGTAGGAGGCTATACCATCTAGGTTCATGTAAGTGCACTCTATATTTGCACAATGACAAAATCTCATAATAATGTATTTTTCATAACGTATTCCCATCATTAAAAATATGACTTACATTTATATACGCATATACATAAAATCAGTCTTTTAAAACTTAATGAATTCAAAGGAAGATTTACTGTTGGAAGCACCAGAACTTCTAACTCCAAGTAAGTGAATAACACATAAATTCTGCAAGGAAATTGGAATAAGACTATTTTAGTTTAAATCTCATTTCTGGCTATTTACCACCCACCATTGTGTGTATTGATGGTATTAAAAAGGAAAAGAAAAGATCTATAAATAGAGATTTTTAGACGCATATCCATGTTTTTCAGGGACTATATAAAAGAAAAAGTATTAACAAAAAACAAGTGAAACATGCCTTCAACTGCATCACTCCGATACACACATCATCATAATTGTAGTGAATAACTTTACAGTTATTTCATTATGTGTATACTGTCATGCTGCCATTGATAATCTCATATATCATCAATGCTGTATTTACATTGGATGCTATTAACATGTGGTTTTATGTTTTCCTACTTTCAGTACTTCCCTGACTCCAATCAAGACAATGGAAGACTGCAAAAGATTAAATAAGGTGATACCTCTCATCATCAGGCATATACTTTAACTCCCTCACATGCCTTCAGCACTTCGAAATATTGGTTATTTTCTCATTATTTTAGGAAAATGAATATGTATTATGTATAATGGTGGGTATCTTGCTTTTCTCACCTATGAATACATGGCGAAAATTCCTATATTCCTATTAGAGTTAGTTCTAAGGAGCAGCTACATAATATTTCATAATCTTGAAATATTTATGCAACCCTTCTCTTATTACTTTCTTACTGAAGGGCTTTGACTTTCTAGTTTTATTTTTATTTATTTTTCTTTGTTACTACAATCAGTACTTCAGAAGACATTCTGAAGAATATGTTGGTGAGAACAAAACTTCCCAACATGATATAGAATTGCTGAGACAGAATGCTAATGCAATAGTTGTAAAAGTATGCTTTTATTTCTATAGTTTGAAGTCCTAGAAATGTGATTGCTGAATCAATGGGTACATTTGTAATGAAACTGTTTTGAAATTTTGTTTTTATTTCTATAGTATAGCTTTCCATGAATGAGATTGTTGAGTAAACATGTACATTTTTATTACAATACTTTCCAAATAGTGATCTAAGAAAACCTAGGGTTTGGAGAATGCTTTTTGTTGTCACTTTTATTGTTTTTTAAAGGTTTGAGGGAATGTCTACTAGGTGGTACATATGGTCTCACTTTCATACCACGCTCAGTCAGTGAGCGCACCGGCCATCCCTACATAGGATCTGAACCCACGGCCTTGGCACTACCAGCGCCGCACTCTCCTGAGTGCACCACGGGGCTGGGCCGCAGGTCTGCTTTTTATTCACCAGAAACTGTTTCCTTTTCCCTGGTCACATATCAACACTGCATTTCCTGTCTTTCCTTGCTGTTGCTTGTGACCATGTGACAGAGCTCTAGACAATGAAATGACAGCAGAGGCTGGGCCGCAGGTCTGCTTTTTATTCACCAGAAACTGTTTCCTTTTCCCTGGTCACATATGAACACTGCATTTCCTGTCTTTCCTTGCTGTTGCTTGTGACCATGTGACAGAGCTCTAGACAATGAAATGACAGCAGAAAAAAATGACATCAGTGACTTCTGAACCAGCCCCATAGAAGCCTCCATCTGTGTTTCATTTATCCACCTCCCAACTGACCCAGTGGAGGCTATCGTGGTGAACTTGGAAGCCACATGTCAAAGCTTGGAGAAGTTCTGTCAGTTTAAGTGACTGAGGGGAGAAGAGTCCTCTCACTGACCAGAGAAACTCATCCTGGAAGAACAGTTTGTAAGAAAAAAAAAATTATATTATGTTTGAAAGATGATACACTTTGGGATCAATTTGTTACACAGCTAACATCAACCTAGCTAATAATTGCATTCTGTATAAGACTTGGGCAGAGAAAAAAGCTTTCTAAAGTCAGTTACCCTGTTTGTTTAATACCCTTCTCAATGTTTAATATCATTTCTGAAAGAATGTATAACAAATTTCTAACAACAGAGACTAAAGTGATGATTGTAGAAATCAAATGAAGCGAGATGGTAAAAAAACAAAAAATGCAATGTGGTCTTGAAAGATAGAGGTTTAGTAATTATTTCCAGCTTCCGATTACAAGAAAATAACAATAAACCACACATAGATTTCAAATTTTCAACCTCTATTTGAGAGTCGTGTAAAAGGCATCAACATGGTCTATCTTTTAATAAATTGTTCTTTGGAGGCTGATAATTGTGTGATACTCTTTAATAAAATAGGATAAAATCAAGATTAAAACGTTACCGCTGATTATCCCTGTGACATCCTTAACAGGAACAACAGTAATGTTACACAACAAAGACCAGGAGGAAGACGTTATCCCTCTCCCTGAAATAGAAGATAGCATCGGTCTCTTTCCCTTTTCTTAGTTTTCTTGCCGTCATTGATTGTGTCACAAAGCACAATTAGATTTGTCTCCCAAAATGTGTTCAAAGAAATATATAATTCCTCTTTCTTTTTTTCTTTCCTTTCTTCTTTTTTTATCAGTGTCAAAAAAAGCCATTAAACAGACAAGCAAGGAGAACGGCCTGGTGAGGCTTGGGGCGCGTGCAGGAAGGAAGCTGAATGGGCAGCAGCTGTCGTATCGGGATATTGGTTATGTAGAGGGGGACTGAGAAAATAACTAAATATATTAAGAATATTGGAGGCAGTGGCGGAGCTAGCGCGGGATCATCATCCACGACACCCGGCGCCTGGCCTGCTGTCTTTCACCCCAGCACATCCTGGGCCTCCCCATCGCCGGCACATCTACCTCTCGGCTCGAATCGACCGAAACCTGGTCATTTGGCTCTACACGCCCGTCTGCAGCGATGAGGACAAGGGCTTCGTGGACCTGGTCATCAAGGTTTCTTTCAAGGACACCCATCCCAAGTTTCCAGCTGGAGGGAAGATGTCCCAGTACCTGGAAAGCTTGCAGATTGGAGATGCTGCTGCGTTCCATGCCCGGCTGGGCTGCTGGTCTACCAGGGCGCAGGGAAGTTTGCCATCCAGGCCGACAAGAAGTCCAACCCCGTCTTCAAGACAGTAAAGTCTGTCGGCATGATCGCAGGAGGGACAGGCGTCACCCGATGTTGCAGGGGATCCGCGCCATCATGAAGGCCCGGATGACCACACTGTGTGCCACCTGCTCTTTGCCAACCAGACCGGGAAGGATGCCCGCTTCCAGCTCTGGCTCACGGTGGACAGGGCTCCTGAAGCCTGGGACTGCAGCCAGGGCTTCGTGAATGAAGAGATGATCCGGGACCACCTTCCGCCCCGGAGGAGGGGCCGCTGGTGCTGATGTGTGGACCCCGCACGTGATCCAGTAACCTGCCCGCCCAACGGGGACCGCGGGGGCCACCCCAAGGAGCGCTGCTTCCCCTTCTGATGGCCGGGCGGCTGCACGCACGCCAGCCCGCCCCGCGTACTCGCCTCCCCCTGCCCACCCTCCCCCTGTCCTCTCCCCCACATCTGCCCCCATCTCCCGCCAGGGCACCGGGTTCAGCCTGGCCTGCCCTTGCCCTGGTGGTCACCCCGCTGAGCTGGCCCCTTAGGGTCCCTTTTGGGAGCGGGATCTGTTTCAGGTGGGCCACAGCTGGCTACCCTCAGGTTCCTGTCTGGCACTCACCAGTTCTCACCAAGGTGCCACCCCGTCCCTGTCCTTGTGACTTCCACACACACTACAAGGCCCAGGGCTGCCAGTACCGTGCTCCACCGTCCCCTATGGGCAGTGAACCACAGTTGAGCTGCAGGTGCCAGAGACCACCCCAGCCACCGTCCTGGGACCCTTGCCTGCTGCCCCCTGCTACCTGCCTCAGAGCCGAGTCTGGGCCTTAGCACCTGAAGCTACAGGTGACGGATAATACCAAAAAGTCCTCTTCGAGGGGTCTGCTCGGGGTGAGAGGCTGCCCCCTAGACTAGGGCTGAGTGAGGCCCAAGAAGAGGGTGTGGGCCAAGGACCCCTTGGGCTGGCACACGGGACTTCCTGAAACCTCAGCATCTTCCCCTCACACATCCAGACATTTATTTACATAGCCTTGGGAGGCTCAAGCTGTCAGCCTGGCATCCAGATGTCCCACCTT